TAATAATAATAATAATAATAATAATAATAATAATAATAATAATAATAATAATAATAATAATAATAATACAACCCACACTAAGAAAGGAACAACATCCCAGCGAACAGAGAGAGCTTAAGGTGCCCGTGCTGTTAAAGTTACCAGATTTCGATTCAGATGGGGCAGATTGAATCATTTTATGGATATAGAAGATAAGCCCACCGACCCAATAACGACCGCACCAAGCAGTGATGGTGACTGTCACTTCCATACAGCACCATCATAGAAACAGTTTAGATCACAATGAAATTGAAGGCGGGCTGCTCCGACCCAGACTGTCTGAGTCAACCTGAACTGAGAGGGTCACAACGTCCCAGCACACAGCGGGGAGACTCCATTTAAAAATAATAGATTACTACTTATGATGATGATGATGGTGATGGTGATGATGGTGATGGTGATGGTGATGGTGATGGTGATGATGGTGATGGTGATGATGAAGATGATGATGATGATGATGATGATGATGATGATGATGATGATGATGATGATGATGATAACAATGATGCTGATGATGATAACAATGATGATGATGATGATGATGATAACAATGATGATGATGATGATGATAAGGATGATGGTGATGATGATGATGAAGATGATGATGATGATGATGATGATGATGATGATGATGATGATATCTGCATTGATACCGCCCAAATCCACGCTCAACACCACGCTCTGTGAGCTTTAGAACCAAACCTACCAACACGAAAATCGAATTCGAATGATTTGCGTGGCACAACGAAGCGGCTAACCGCCACACCACACACGCTGGTCCGGCCACAACACCTGCCCTGTACAAGGCGAAAAGCAGCTGCTCTTCCCAGTTCGTCGCTAGGTGCCCAGCTAGATGTAAACAGGTGAATTTTGATATAGCTGTTCTGTAACGCAGCTGATGTTTTTCTGCTTGGCCGGCTACGTCATTCATTCAGACCGTACGCAACGGATCTCCGACAAACATTTAATTACCGGGATGGCGAAATGTCTTCATGACAGCGAAAGAGAAACAAATCGAGTTAATAACGACTGCTTTTGGGTTTGTTTTTTGTTGTTTTTTTGTTGTTGTTGGGTTTTTTTTATAGTAAAGAACACATCGACACAGCAACAGTTACATAGCGCACGAAACTAATAAGACAAAGAAAAAGAAACAACAAAGAAGAAGGCTCTACTAGAGGCACCTTCCTACCCTACATGTGGTGGTGGTGGTTCGCTTGTTTGTTTGTTTGTTTGTTTGTCTGTCTGTTTAGGTACAAAGAAGCACATCGACACAAAAATGGTCATTTAGTGCTGGGATAAAGTTAGACGGACAGACAGAAACAACAGAAGGAAAGTAAAGAAGTTGATCCTAACAGTGGCGCCCTCCAGCAACCCCCGAGAACGACAGTATCACGCTAAAAGACAGAAAGAAAAAACCAGACAAAAGTAAGAAACGACAGAACAGAGGTTGCACCTGTCAGCGGCGTCTCCGAGTCTCCAAACACCCACACGGTGATCTGAACAGAACCGGCATCAGACAAATATGGCAACAGAATTCTCTGGTTTCTTTCTTTTCTTTTTTCTTAATGAACAAATAATGTATGTATGTATGTATGTATGTGTGTATGTATGTCTGTATGTATGTGTGCATGTATGTATGTATGTCTGTATGTATGTGTGTCTGTATGTGTGTCTGTGTGT